ACCACCAAGGGAGTTCAGTCAGCTCGGAACAACGGAGGGTATACCTGCATTACCACCGACGCACAAGAAGGTGGAGCACCCCTCACTTGGACGCCAACCTATTCGGTCATTTTTATAGTGTACTTATTAGTAATAAATACAACTAAGTCTTGATCAGGGTCTGGTGTCACAACGGCATTTACTCATAGTTATTATCTGACGACCACATTTTGTTTAAATTTTAATAATACTATATGCAGACTTAAACACACTTGTACATCTTCCCGTCAAAAGGCTATGTCCGAACGACCCGTAATACAATAAATATTATATTGAGTTATTTTACTTTCATCATTAAACATTCATTATTCGATGTGTTGCGTCAAATAGAAACTCATTTAGAATAATTTCAATATTACTCATTAGAACTGCGAGTGCTAAAAAAGCTACAAGTATACTAAGAAGATTAAAATATTATCTTCTTTCAACTATGGTTTAAAATCGAATAAGCAATTTAGCTATACTTTCCATGGAGTATAAAACAGTCAAACTTCATAGTATGGACAATCTTATCAACAATTTTTTTAAGGTTATGCTTGTAGAGATTCTCAACTATTATTTTGTAATTTAAACTCTTATACTTACCATTAATTTTGTTTTATAAAAGTGTATTTATTTTTTAATTAAAATATTTGTTATTAAAAATAAATATGGGCCGGTTATCTTCTATCGCAAACGAAGCGAGCGGTTTATAAATTTGGGGTATTTTAATGATACATTTTGTATAAGGCTCTTCTTATGGACTTGCCGACTTTATTGGAACCTATAAATCCGCCACTGATACTCGTCGTATGATGCTTGAGAATAATTTATATAATGTATATATTTATGAAGCTTGAAATTTATGAGTGTCTTAATGCACTTTGCGGCAATATGGAAGGAAACATCCAGTGTAGACGTCAGGGTAGTACTTAAATTTTTTATAGAAGTAACCGATAACAAGGGAGATTCGGTATTGTGTACGAATAATCAATATTAGAGTGCCTTTAACTAAATGGCATAGACTTGCATGTGTCGATATTTTTCGGGTATATATCGGAATAATGAACGTATACTGTTATATATATATATTATGACCCTTGAATTTAACAATCTTAAATTTCAATTATACTTATTAATATTCTTTTTTTTTTTTT